CCCAAAGTTCCTTCTGAGGGTCTTGTTTTCCTTACAAAGATCAAAAGGAAGACAGTGAGTAGATACTAGACTTTCTTCCACTATTTGTACATAATTGTAAGGTTGGAGAGGGTGGCCGATTATCTTCACGATTCATTATCCGTTTACATATCTTTTCTTCTCACTTTCGTGTGCTTACCCAGCTCTTTGAATCCCAACCAAGTCCACTTATTTGCCTCTGGATTGTTTGGACTGTGTCACTTTCTTCTGGGTTGCCCCAATTCCGAGGGGACATTTTCCCTACCATGAAGGCATGAGGTCAGGGAGCAGTCTGTGTGACTCCCAGCCATGACCCTGCACAGCCTACTCCGTCAGCTTGGTGAGGACAGTGAGTGGAAGCGGGCCTAGCTTCCAGAAGCATCCACCTTTTACTGGGATGGAGAACAGCGGTGAAAGGGGCCCCCAGAGTGCACGGTGATTCCCAAGCAATCCTAGTGCAGGTCGTTTGAGAAGAGAGTCGCCTGGCCCTGGAGAAAGCCAGTGGAGGGTGTGCCAAGGCAGAGGAATGAGTTGGGGTGTGGGTTTCCTAGCCCAAGGGGGGCGATCCTATGATTTCCCTTTAGAAGCCTCTTTTATTCCTGAGAAGTCAGGTTAGGGAAGATTTCTGCATCTTAGTCTCCGGCACAGAACTGCCCACCCTCCCCCTGTCTCCCCAGTCCTCTGCCCATCTCCCCAGCCCTCTGGCTCTCTCCCCAGGTCTCTGCCTATCGCCCCAGCCCTCCATCCGTCTCCCCAGCTCTTGCAGGCTGGCACTGAGGCTAAGCATCAGAAGTAGGCCCTCTCCCTGTGGCCTGGACAGGAGGGCACCCACATCTGCCACCAGCTCCCAGGGGCCTTTAGCCAAGCATAAGTCGCTTCTTCTCCAGCTCTGGCGGCCGGGTCCAGATAAGCAGTGCGGCTCGCTGCCCACCCCCTTCCTGAGCCAAGCCTCTGGGAGCACCGACCCACCCACCAGGCTCTCCCTGGCGCTTGCCGCCCCAGGCAGGGAGAGGCGTGGGGCCTGGAGCTCCAGGGCGGGTGCACCCCATCCCTCACCACTCTGCAGGCCCCTTCCAGGCCCTCCGCTGCTACGCTTAATCCTTCCCAGGGCTACTCGGCCAGGTCCCTGACCCAGGCCCCCAAGGTCGCCCGGTGTGTCTGCAGGCTGGCACGTGGCTGGGAGGTAAGACACCCGCACTTCCTCTGCGCCCCCTCCTCTGGCCCCGCCCGACCACCCCCCCTCCTCCGCCTGCCCTATCATTTAGGCCTTTGTCTGCAGGCCAGGGTCTCAGCCGCAGCTGCAGGAGCCGAGGGCCGAGGGGGGCTCTCTGCCAGGTCGAGCCCTTTCTCCCGGATCGGCCCTAATTCCCGGTTAGGCAACCGGCCGCGCGGAGCTGGCTCTCGGCCACGGGCGCGCCGCTCCCCGGCCTGATTCTGCGGGGGGTTGAGATTTCGCTCTCAGGAATTGTTGGGCACCTCTCCCAACCGAGTGACAAGGACCCTGAAAACCAACACCGCTCATATTACATTGGTTATTATTTTTTTTTCAGTGTCCTTACTCCCCACACTGAGAAGTGTGGGGAGTAAGGGGACAGGACAGCGACCGGAAAAGTCAGCCACCTCTGGCCTCGTTTTAAGAAAAAAACGGGAGGCTCAGATCTGCAGCCAGCGTCCCCAGGATCTGCTGTGGCCGCAGATTTCGTCGGACTAGCGTCGGAGCTGGGGACACACCGGGCTGGGAGCCGCCTCTCCCCTTGATGTGCTCCGAGGTCCGCCTTTGTGCCGCACGCCTGGGAAGGGCAGGGGGGCCGGTTCTCCGGAAGCGGGGTGCTGCTGACTGTCTTCTCGGCCTGGCGGGAGGAGATAAGACCAGGGATCCCGGCGATCGCAGCCTCACCAGGTTGGGGAGAAGCAGATGTCCAGTACCGGGTCGCCTGGTCACGCGGAGAAGTTCCCCGCTGCGGGGCGGCCGCCTTGTGGGTGGAGAAGCCAAGCGGCAAGGCGGGCTGGGCTTAGGGCCCGCACCTCGGGAGCGGACACTTGGAAATGTGCCTTCCCCCTCCCTGTCCCCCTTCCCTGCGCTTAGAAACCACAGCCAGGCGGGGTCCCACATCCGGCGGGCCTGTCGGGTCTCAAGCATGTTTTAGAGCTTTCAGAAATGAATTGTGTGATTTTTGTAAGATTTAGGATTCCCTCCGCTAGGAGCAAATTAACTTTCTTGCAGCTTCCACCCAGATTCTCCCATCCTCCACGCTGTACCTTTGGATGGTGCCCACGCTCAAGGGGAGCTCTTTTGTGGAATTATGTTGAGGTTTGGGTTGGCTTTGTGTGGCCCGATACCTCTAATGACTTCTTCCTTCCCTCTTCTTTCCTTCTTCTGCAGGACTCCCCTCTAATCACTGGAGGGGGGCAGCAGGCGGCAGCAGGCCATCACTCAGGAATTGTCCTGCTTCCTCAGACCAGCCTCCTACAGCCTGGAGACCAGTGTCTGCAGGTTGCTGCCCACCTCTTCCCCCAGAGTAAACGAGGTCAGCCTGGAGATGATGGTGCTGCTTTTGCAGACTTCATGCTGAAGCCAGTAGTTTGCATCTGGACCACCCGCTCAGTTAATGCCGGGACAATCAGAGGCAAAAGCGCCCAAGACATTATGAAGTATTTCTCAAGAGCCAGCCTGAGTGCTTTTCAGGGGACAGGTGGAGAAATTAACCTGGGGTGGCTTTGCAGGAACCAGCCAGCCCTGGGCCTGCCCCCTCCCCATTCTGTGATCAGGAGAACCCAAATAACTGGACATTCCCTGATGATTAAGGGTCCCCAGAGTTGCAGGAAAACTCCCCTGCAACCCTAAACATGTGTAAATAGAGTGTTGCCATAACTTCACCAGCGTCATTTTTCCAGGAGCAGACAGACTATGGGTTTCATTTTTTGAGACCCAGGGGAGGGCCGCTGGCAGGAGTGTGCCTAGCCAGGTAATTTGGTGAAGATCCCTCCACTGGAGGGGGAGGAAGGGAGAGGGATGTGAGTCACCCCAGTGGAAAGGGTTTCCCCATCCTGACAGAGTCTCACCACCTGCCTCCAGAGCCTGTCCACACCCAGCCACTACCTGCATTTAACAGCCAGGTGACCCAGCCCAGTACTTCCTTCTACCCATTTTATGCCTCTCCTCCGTGGGTTAAATTCCCCCAGATGTACCTTGTAACTGTTGTTTCTAGTTCAACCCAGGCCTCACCCTGGAGCCCGCAGTGGGTGGACCGATCTGGGGTGGAGAGACAATGGGACCTGCATGGGGACCAGAGGAAAAGCTAAGCAAGTCAAGCCTTCAAGCCTCAAGGTGGCCTGGTGGTCACATTGCCAGGAGGGCTGCTGGCCCAGACCTGCTCCATCCTCCCAGCCTGACAGCCTCCTGCTGGCTGCCCAGGCCCAGGGTTACCAAAACAGGCCTCTGTTGCTGGGCACCCTGAAGCCACGTGGGCTCTCCCTTTCTCCCCAGTCTTCCCATATCCTCTCCAACGTACTTTTATCTGCCAGTGATCCAGCACCCTGCGAGTTGCCCTTTTGGATGTTTTTCGAACTTCAAAAATTTCCATGAAATGCCTTTTAAATGATGGACAGGCGAGCCTCGGGTCACAACAGGTGTTTGGTGGGGTGTCTGCAGGTGGGGTCAAGGACAGAGGAGTGAACAGGAAGGAGCCACAAGTAAGAGGCGGGAGAAGAGAAAACAGAAATTCCAGTTGGACTTTCTGACAGCAGCTGCAAAGGAAGCTTAGGAAGGGATCTTGGAAGGAAGGAGGGGAGGGGAAAGGGGAAACAAATTGGGGCCCCCACCCCACCACTTGATTTCTAATTTCCCTTTCATATGGGCCCTCCAGAAAAACTAATTTAGAAGATTTTAAGACAAGAAAAAGAGGTGAATGTCCTGTAGCCCCTCGGACCTTCGGTGGGGTAAAAACTGGGGGGTGGGAAATGAGAGTGAGGACTTGGGAGGAGGCAGCCTCTGGGGAGTAGTTTGTTCCACGTGGTTTTGAAGGCTTGGTTGAACCATCCGCTTCCCTTCTCCTTCCAGAAAGAAGATTCGGTTATAATGCGCAGTGCTCCTTTATTCTTTCCCCAACACGGAGTTCCACATCGCGTTCCTGAGCTCTTCCGGGTCTGCATGCACGATTCAGGAGGATCCGTGACCAGGGTGGGATCCGACAGCAGGCACGCGGCTCCCTGCACTCGCGCGCGCAGACGCGCGCACACTTACAGTGAGTGTCTGCAGGAAGAGGGGCCTGCGCATCAGCTCTGCATTAAAGACGGGGAGCTTCCCGGGTTACCAAAGTCAAATGTAAGTGACAACCGCCCTTTCCAGCAAGGCGGACTTCCAGAAGTCTCTTTGTATCTCGGCAGCTCATTTAATGTTATTTATGCATTTTTGTGCAAGGAATTGTGGGATTTTTTTCCCCACGGTAAACAATATGGAAATGTTAAAAAAAAAAAAAAGCACCCTTCCAGCGCTTGTCCCCGTCCGCGTGTGGGCGACCCGGCGGGACTGTCGCGGGCGTTTCTCAGATCGCGGAGAAGCCGCGGGGAAAACGCGAACGCGCGAGCGCGCGCAGAGAACGCGGCGGCGGTCTCGCGGGTCCAGGCTCCGCACCCGGAGCGCAGGGACGCGGCCCCTTTAAGCGGGGGCGGGGCGGCGGGCGGCCCCTGTCACCGAGCCGGTCACGTGGGCGCGCGGCGCCGCGACCATTGGCCCGAGGCACGTGTCCAGGAGACCGGCCCGCGACGTCACTCGAGGGGGCTCGGTTAAAAATAAGAACAAAAATCCAGAGTCCGAGTGTCTCGGGTTGCGCCGAGTGGCCTGGAAATTTCCTGGCCGCGCGGAGGCCGAGGCGCGAGGGCGCGCAGACGGCGAGGGAACGCGGGCGGCCCAGCCCGGTCCGGCCCGGCCCGCCGCTCACCCATGCGACTCGGGCCGCGGGGCTCGGCGGGGCTCTGCGGGGGCGCCCCNCGCCCTCGGGAGAGTCGGCGGGGAAGGGACACCGGCCGGCCTCGGAAGTCTCCGCGTACGGAGCGGAGAAGCGGAAGGCTGACTGGAGGGTGTCCCTGGAGAACCGACTCGGGATTTGTTGCGAGCAGCATGGAGGAGAATGACCCCAAGCCTAGCGAAGCGGCGGCGGCGGAGGGGCAGCGGCCGCCGGAATCCAGTCCCAGCGGCGGCGCCGGCAGCCCTGGCGACGCGGACACTGGCCGCCGGCGGGCTCTGATGCTGCCTGCGGTCCTGCAGGCGCCGGGCAACCACCAGCACCCACACCGCATCACCAACTTTTTCATCGACAACATCCTGCGGCCCGAGTTCGGCCGGAGAAAGGACGCGGGGACGTGTTGTCCCGGCGCCGGAGGAGGCAGAGGCGCCGGGGCAGGCGGCGAAGGCGGCCTGGAGGGAGGCGGCGGCGCGGGCGGCGCGGAGCAGCTCCTGGTGTCGGGCCGGGAGCCCCGGCAGAACGCGCCCGGGGCGGGCGGGCCGCTGCCCGGCGGTGGCGGTAGCGACTCTCCGGGTGACGGCGAAGGCGGCTCCAAAGCGCTCTCACTGCACAGCGGTGCCAAGAAAGGAGGAGACCCCGGGGGTCCCCTGGACGGGGCGCTCAAAGCCCGCGGCTTGGGCGGCGGCGACCTGTCGGTGAGCTCAGACTCGGACAGTTCGCAGGCCAGCGCCAACCTTGGCGCGCAGCCCATGCTCTGGCCGGCTTGGGTCTACTGCACGCGCTACTCGGACCGACCTTCTTCAGGTGAGCCCTGGGGACCCGTGCCCCGGCCTGCCGTGGGAAGGCCCGCGGGGTTGCGGGGCAGCGCTGGGGCGGGAACTTACCGGGAGAAAGAAGACTCGAGCATCCCTCGCCCCCAACACAAAGACGCGCACACAGCGACACTGTGTGCGGCCGACGCTGACGCGGGCCGCGGCCAGGCGGAGAGGGGCAGGGTTGATTCACTCGGGGCTACAGACTTCCTAGAACGGCGAAAAGTACCAGGACCTCCGTTCTCTCTTGCCTTTGGGGGCCTCTCCTAGTCCCTAGCCCATCCCTGCCCTGGCCGGAGTTTATTTGGTGGGGATGGGGGTGGCTGGAAAACAGGCCCGGAAGAGCACACCCTCGCTTGTTCTTCCCATTCGGTCCAGACCCGGACCCACGCCCAGCCCGCCCTGAGACTTAGTCTCATCCTGCCGCCCCAGTTTCCCAGATGTGTCCCGGGAAGAATGCGAGGCTCGCTGCTCGTCCTCAGCTGGGGTCGACCAGGGGCCGGTGGAGGGATCCGCAGAGGGAAGGAAGGGAGACAGAGGAGCCCTTCGCCCTGTGCCTCGTTTTATTTGCCAAGAGGTGCGCACACAGCTTGGAAGAGGAAGGCCTGCTGTCTTCGGATAGAATGGATCTTTATCGAGCTTTCCTGCGTAGGAAAGGAGCAGATTTCAGAGGAAGTGCGCGGGGGAGCCGGCGAGAGTGTGCAGAGCTTCTGGGCGTCTTTTTCGTAGACCCGGGATTTTTAAAAGCTGAGTCCACTTCCCCATAGAAGTATGAGCCGCAGTAAATGCGGGTCTGCGGCTGCGAACCGCCATTAGGCGCATACTCCGTTTGTCCCCGAGCCGGCTGCGCATACCGGACCCCCCTGTTCCCCGAACCCTCAACTGTTTTGCGGGGGTCGTTTAAACAGTTCACAGCGCAACCAAGTCACCCCCGGGTCTCCTGCCCGCAGAAACGGTCTGTGTGTATCTCTGATGAAACCCCAATTTCTCCAGCTAGATCTGAAATTTGCTCCATTGTTCTCGCCTCTCTCCTTTGTTAATATTTAATTAACATATAGGCTCACAATGCGGCCGGCGAGGAGCCTCGGCCCGGCTTTGTGCGGCGCGGGAGTCGCGGCCGCGCCAGGCCCCAGAGGCCGGAGGAAGCCCGGCAGCCGGGCCTGGCTCAGTGGTTGGTCTTCCTGGACTTTAAAAAAAAAAAGCCCCGTTAGATAAGATATGTGTTTCCGGGCGTTTACGAAAGCAGCGACGCAGAGTTTTGTTTTGTTTTGTTTTGTTTTTGCGGAGGTTTGGTCTTTCCAAGACTCCTTAAGAGTTTGCGTTTTGAACGAAAATCAAGAAGGAAAAGGAACTGAAATCTCTGATTTTAGGGAGATTTCCTTTCTATAAAGTGGCCCGGGCCTTTTGTGGGCTGATCGGCGTGTGCGAGCGCCCTGGGATCCGAGGAGTTTGCGGATGGGGACCGCGGGCGGGCTGTGCCGCACGAGGCCGCGGTGGGGGCCTCTGCCGGGCCTGTAGAAGCCTCGCAGGGCCGGCCCCTGCCCGCCTCGCGCGGCGCCCCCTGGACGCGGGCAGCCGCCCCGAATCCGCACCCTCTGGGGAAAAGCTAGGCTGGGCAGCCGGGGACCTGGGCTTGTGAGCGAGTGTGCGCGCGGTGGGGGCAGGGGGCGCGGTGCGCCTGGGTCGGGGTGCGCCTGGGTGTGCTTCCAATCTTGAAGGCCCCAGGCTTGAGCCGAACAGTCTGGTGCCCCCTCTCCACCGGGCCCGGCCCTCCTTTTCCCATCGTGTCTCCCGGAGACAGCGCAAGGCTCGGTGGGCGGAGGAGGGGGTTCCCGGGGCCTCCTGGGTCTGCGGACCGCCCCAGATCCCTAGCTAGGGAAGGCCCGGGTGATGGTCCACCCTCCTGGTCCGAGTGCCCCCCCCAGAGCCTCACCCCGCAGAGTGCCGTAGGGGTGGGCGCCTGGGTGCTCCGGCTGCCGGAGGTCTAGCCTTCTCCAGCCTCTCAGCCAGGGCTCCTCCGAAGAAGCGGGAGCCAGCCCCCAGCACGACTTAACACACTTCACAGATTCAGACCCCCAGACCCGAAGCCACCACCCCCTCCTGCAAAGTCCTCTTCCCTCTCTGACCCCCTCGCCCCATCTGACCTTCGGAAACCCGGGAAAAGACACGACTTTGTCGCCTTTCTCAGGCCCTTTCTGTTGCCGAGGTCCTAGGACTCCCAGCGCCACTGCCCCGCACCAACCTGGGCGGCCCACCAGGAAGAGTGTGGGGGTGAGAAGTGTGAGCCTTCTGCCCGAGGTCAGCGGGGTCCCCAGTGGCCGCCTCAGCTCCGGGGCTGGCAGTGTGTCCCCTCTCCTGGACGGGGGACTGGGGGAGACCTGGTGGGGTGAAGGGTGGGAAGCTCGTGCTCCTTCTGGCCCTTAAAGGGAAGGATGAACGTGGGCCCACAGGGCCGGCTGGGGGAGGCAGACCCTTCCCGTTCTCAGCACCCACCTGACGCTGGCTCCCACGGCCCCCCGGGTCTGTGGGGAGTCCCCCCTGCACCCCGGGGCTCCCCCTGCTACTCTGACTGGCCCAACCCCCTCCAGTCTGTCTCCCTCAACTCTCTCCCCGCAGCCACCCCACCCTGTCGCCATTCGTGGACAGAACCTCAGGAAGGATTCGAAAAGTCCTGGCCACAGAGTTTTGGGGTTTTTGCTATCCTGGCCTTTCCGCTAAGCCTGCCCTCTGCCCCCAAGCCCACCGCTCCTGCAGGCTTCCCGGCCCCCCTCCCCGCCCCCTCCATGAGCACTCCACCCCGGCAGCCGACCCCAAAGCCAGCCCTGCTTTCCTCCGGGTCGCCAACAGCTGCGACAGCCTCCTGTGCGGGGTAGTGGACCCCCCCCACCAGCGAGCAAGCCGGCCGGAGCCCTCCTAACCCGCCTCTCTGTCCCCCGCGCCTCCCTAGGTCCCAGGTCTCGCAAACCAAAGAAGAAGAACCCCAACAAAGAGGACAAGCGGCCCCGCACGGCCTTCACGGCAGAGCAGCTGCAGCGGCTCAAGGCCGAGTTCCAGACCAACAGGTACCTGACGGAGCAGCGGCGCCAGAGCCTGGCGCAGGAGCTCAGCCTCAACGAGTCGCAGATCAAGATCTGGTTCCAGAACAAGCGCGCCAAGATCAAGAAGGCGACGGGCAGCAAGAACACGCTGGCCGTGCACCTCATGGCGCAGGGCCTGTACAACCACTCCACCACCGCCAAGGAGGGCAAGTCGGACAGCGAGTAGGGCGGGCGGGTACCGCGTCCCGGCCCGCCCTGGCAAAATGATGCAATAATTTAAAATCAGAAATCAAGGGCCAGTGTATAAAGATTATACCAGCATTAATAGTGAAGATATCGTGTATTAGCTATGGTTCTGCAATATTCTATGTATATATAATTTACAGGAGGTGTAAAATCCAAAATATCTGACTATAAAATATTTTTTGAGTTTTTTTATGTTTATGAGATTATGCTAATTTTATGTTGGGTTTTTGGTTTTTGCAAAGGGGGCTACTTAGGGTTTCATCTTTTTAATCCCCTAAGTTCCATTATGGGACATCGGACACTTTTTTTTTAATTTCAAAAGATGAAAAAATTAAAACAACTTGCTGAAGTCCAAAGATTTTTATTGCTGCATTTCACACGACTGTGAACCGAATAAATAGCTCCTACTTGGTCTATGAGTTCTGCCACTTTGTTTGTGTGGGCTTGGTGAGGCTCGCAGGAGGGTCCGCGTGCCCAAGCCCGCCACCACCATCGCAGAGAAAGGGTCCCGGAGGCGAGGCCGCGGCTGGGCCTCCGGTCGGTGCCCTGTTCCCCAGGGCTGCCTGGGCAGGGCCCACGCCAGCCCTCCTCCTCCCCTCTGCCTGCCTTCCCTCCCTGTCTCCTCCTCGCCGCCGAGGCCTGGCTCGCGCCTCCCTGCATCCTTCTGTCTGCATCTGCGTCGTTGTCCCCTGTCCAGCCGCCCGCCTCCAGTGCCGGAGTGTCCCACCTCCACCTCCAGCACCCGCTCCGGGGCTCAGGGCGCCAGTGGCTGGAGGCCCACAGGCTTTGGGACCACCCTGTCCCCCCAGACCTGGGCCCAGAAGCTCCCCTGCGGCTCCATCAGCTGCCCAGGCAATATCTGCGGGGGCGGGGGGGGGGTGCCCAGAAACGCAGCCAAGGTCTGCTGGGTGTGCCTCCGGAGCTGTGGAAGCCTGAAGGAGCTGGCGTTTCCCCTTTTCTTTTTCTTTTTCTTCACTTTCTTTTCTTTTTTTTCCTTTTTTTTTTAAAGTGGCCGCTTCTGCTATAGAGAGCATTCTTTCATGGTAAATATGTGTGTGCATGTGTACATATATCTGTGTGTGTGTTCATGTCACACACAGAAGCTGACGTGTAAGAGTCCACAGTTCTAGAACATGTGGCCACCTTGACTTTTAAAGGAACTCAGAATTCTCCAGGATCTAGAGGAAAGAAGAAAATGTGTAAATAATCATTTCTTATCACTTTTTGTCTTTTCTTGTTTTTTTTTAAATATACATTTTATTTTTTGAAGTGTGGTACAGTGTAAATGAAATATATTCAATATATCCCCACCAAGTACATATATATAAACAAACACATTATCTATATCTGTAGCTCCACACTGTCTTCTGTTTATTGTATGGAAAAAGAATTGTGTCCAAATGTCCGTCTGTGCTGGGACAGTCTGGGGGGTGCCCCGGGCCCTGCCCCGAGGACTGAGGGTGAACTTCTCTCTTTGCCTTAAACCTCTTTATTTCACTGCGATAATAGCTTCCCTTTGTACATACTAGTATAAACCCTTTTTTTTTTTTTTAAGGAAAAGAAACTTATAAAAGCAAAAGCTGTAATTTAAAATTCTGTGAATAACCATCTGCTGCTTAGGAAACTCAATGAAATGATATGCCTTTTTAGCAGGAAGCAAAGTTTTGGGGTTTTTATTTTTTTATTTTTATTTTTTAGTTTATTACACATGTGCATTTTACAGTTCCAGTAGCAAATATTTATAATCTTATAAGAAATGAATGTTTCTATTTACTACTGTGGTTATCAAAATTGTGAACATTCCCCCTGCATTTTTGTGTGTTGAAATTCTTGAAAGTTACATTAAATAAAAAAACCCACTTTATTGTAAAATATCAGTTGTCCAAGATGGAATGAGTAGGTTTGTTTTTTTTTAAGTGTGTTTCTGAGCCCAGCTGACCTGCCGAGGACGACCTCAGTGCTCAGGTGCTCAGGTCTTTCCCTCCACGGCAGGTGTGCACATGCCTGCCTTTGTAGCCAGAGGCATAATTTTTTTTTAATAATGAAGACACTTTGGACGTCTCCTGTATGAGTACAGAACAACCAAAGGAATTTAAGTATGCATTTATTTACCAGAAGGAAGTGTTCCAAAGTCCGGTGCTTTTTCTTTGAATAAATATTTAAACTCCTGCAGAAAGCAACAGGTCTCTGTCCCTGGCTGCTCCCTGAGCCGACAGAGGCGCTCAGCCCCTGGAGAGAGGAGCTCTCACTTGACCTGAGACAAAGAGGCTCTTCTTTATGTTGCATTGTTGTCTTTTCCCCAGAGCAGAGGACACGGACTGATGCATCCTAAGGCGGATGCGAGAAAAAGACCGGAAGTGGATGGGAGTTTTGACCTTGGGACCTGCAACTCACCTGGCCTCAGAGGACAGCTGACGTGGCCCTGTGAACCCAACTGCTCTATTTCCAAACTCTCTTGGCTACAGTTTTCTTCTCCCAGTAAAAGAAGCTCAAGAGACTAGAGAGGAGCCTCTGTTCCCAAGGCGACCTTTTAGGCATTTCCGTTCCACACCGGCTTCCCAAGGGGAAGGACGCTGGGCCTCTGGCTAGGAGCTGAGCTGCTTCCCGGTTTTGCAAAGACACGTTCTGGGGTCTCTCTGCAGAGGCTCCGGAGCCTGGTCCCAGGAGCATTAATGGGGCAGGATCATATCCTCCTTAGCCACCACCCTGCCACTCTGCCAATCTGCGGGTTCCTAAAGACAAAACTGCACTAGCCCAGCTTCTATTACCTGATTGGCCTCTCCTTCCTTTTAATAAAAAGATCACATAGCAACATTCAGCCATCATTTTTAGTTTTTGTATTTCATCCCACTGGCAAATCATAGCGCTGTTAAGGGGCAATGTATGGTTTTGCAAGGTAATGAGCTCCCCATCCTCAGAGGTGTGCAAGCAGACACTAGGCCTACAGTGGCATAAGGTTTTTCTTTTGCTTCCCCCCGGCCTCCAGTAGGAGATTGGACTAAATGAACTCTCAGACCTCCCAAATGCTGAGATTCTGGTTTTGCTCCTACGTTTATTACATGTTTTTAAATTCTCTCATAACTCATGGAGAGCCACTTCGGCACACACCAGCCACTTTCACTAGGAGCTGGGCTTCCCGGGTGGCACAGTGGTAAAGAATCTGCCTGCCAATGCAGGACACACAAGAGATACGGGTTCCATCCCTGGTTGGAGAAGATCCCGTGGAGAATGAAATGGCAACGCACTCCAGTATTCTTGCCTGGAGAATCCCATGGACAGAGGAGCCTGGCGGCTACAGTCCATGGGGTCACAAAGAGTTGGACGCGATGGAGCAACTGAGCGCAGACAGTGGAGACCAGAGTCAGGCTGCAGGGCAGGCGATGCCCCTTCGTGAAGTCCGGCCGCCACTGAGCTCCACTTGGGCCCCCACAGCTCTGCCCAGCTTGGATCTGGACCCAGCCTGCAGTACCGGTGACACCCCACCTGGGCCCCACCAGACTGTCACCCCGCAGCAGGTGGGGTTTCCTAAATGTGCTCAGAGGAAAGCTCCTTTAGGAAGGGCGTCCTTGCGGCTTGCAGCTGCATGGCCCCACCCTTAGGCTCGGCAGTTTCCCCAGGCCTGCGTGGCTGCGCAGAGACTGGGCTGAGGCCTGGGAGCTAAGCGCGGACGGTCGCAGCCCCCCAGGCCAGTGGAACACACTTCCCCAAAGATGCAGGATCAGAGACCCAGCAGGATTCCTTGGTGCTTAGCTCCTCCTCCAGCTGCCCAATGGGGTCGAATAAGTGAGCCCCCACCCTCAGGCTGGAGTCAGAATCCGAGGGTCAACACCGGCAGGCGAAGGTCGCAGGAAGTGGACCACCAAGGGCTTTCTTTAGGGGGCAAAAGCGGGGCGCCACCAGTCTGATCTCTGAGAAGGTTCCATCGTTCCTGTTTTCCCTTGGGTGAAAAGGGCAAATCGCTGGGGCTTCTGAACCGCTTGGCACAGGTGTGCCCGGGGGTGTGGTGGGCACAGCAAACATCACACACTATGTATGCAAATACGCCTGCCGCCGCGCGGGGCCAGCTGCGAGGCCGTGTTTGCTCGCTCTGTCTCGGCTGAAAGTCATTCTGTCTCCTGCTGGTTTAATATCCGACCTCTGCCCGCCCGGGGAAGCTCCCCAAGAGCCCCCAGGAAGGTCCCGGCTCTGCCGAAACCTGCCGCTTGCCAGGCCGAGCCGCCGTGCCCTGGGAGACTAATGGCGACTGGCGCCCAAGGCCTCCGGGGAGGCCGACCCTCCAACCGGCACTCCACGCCGCCTCCAGGCACGCACTGCAGCCCCGCGCCGGGCCTCGGGGGTGGAGACCCCATTTCTGCGCTCCCTTCTCTCTCCTATCAGGGCCGAGGGCGAGGCCTCTGGCTTCAAGAGCAGCGGGCGGGGTGGGCTGGGTGGTGGGCGAGGGCGGCTGCAGGCAGGCCTGGCTCTGCGCTGAGTCCCGCGACCCCATGGGCCGCCCTCTGCGGGGGAAACACGCGCGCGGTGCCTGCGCCCTGAGCTCCAGGGGCGCACGACGTGAGCCGGGCTGCGCAAGCCCGAGCAGACCATTCATATTTTCATTATTAATCTCATGTAGTTCATTCTGTTTATGCTCCCCGCCCACAGCAAATAAAAAGCCATTCTTGAAATCGCCTGAAACGTAATAATAGTCATTAAAGTGACTCCTCATTATGAGATTTAATCGAGTGGTCCGCCATATCCCCTTCCTGGCTGGTGAGGCTGAGGAGGACCGCGTTATTATTGTTGCTGTTGTTGTTCGCCTCCTGCTTAGCCATCGGGGTGACTGACCACTTCGTCGTCTTAGGTCAGCACAGGGGCGGTGGGGAGCCCCAAGAGTCTAGGGAACAGGTGTGGCCCAGCTTGATGCCCTGCCGACCCAGGCCCCAGCCCTTGGCAGGCCCCGGCAACGCCTCTGGGGGGAGGGAGGGAGTCCCCAGACCCTCTACCCGCTCCTCATCCCCGCATCCCCGGGGGGAACGCTAGGACCAGAGCCCCGGACTCGCCCCATCGGCGGTCCCTCCCCACCCCTCCTTCCAGGGCCGAGCCCAGAGCTTTGCCCAGAACAAAGAGTGGTGGAGACCTGCCTGCTCAGCCGCCTTTTCGCCCCCTCGGGCTGGAAGGCGTCCCAGAGAGCCCCCCAGCCCCAGCCCAGTCTCCCCGGAGACACCTGGGGAGGGAAAAAGAGCACGGGGCCTCAGTGGACTGCGTCCGCGGAGGGGGCCCGAGTGGGGAGCGCGGCCGGGAGGGCCCCGCCCCCGGCCGGGGTCCTCCGTGGGGCCGGGCCGAGGGCGGGTGGGGGTCACTGCCGGCGCGGACCGTCTGGAAGGCTGGGCCGGGCGGGCGCGCGGCCCCA